TTTAAATCTTAAGAAGTTTGACATTAAGACTCTTTGAAACCTCATTAGTATCATGTTGCATTTCTCTGTGTGCAAACAAGATAAATAGAAATATACAAATACATTTTTACACACATCCAGTGCAGATATACAGTTGAAGTCGGAGGTTTACATACACCTTAGCCAAATACATTTAAACTCAGCTTTTCACAATTCCTGACATTTAATCCTAGTAAAAATTCCCTGTCTTTGGTCAGTTAGGATCACCACTTTATTTTAAGAATGTGAAATGTCATAATAATTTATAATTTATTTCAGCTTTTATTTATTTAATCACATTCCCAGTGGGTCAGAAGTTTACATACACGCAATTAGTATTTGGTAGCATTGCCTTTAAATTGTTTAACTTTGGTCAAACGTTTCGGGTAGCCTTCCACAAGCTTCCCACAATAAGTTGGGTGAATCTTGGCCAATTCCTCCTGACATAGATGGTGTAACAGTCAGGTTTGTAAGCCTCCTTGCTCGCACATGCTTTTTCAGTTCTGCCCACACATTGTCTATAGGATTGAGGTCAGGGCTTTGTGATGCCACTCCAATACCTTGACTTTGTTGTCCTTAAGCCATTTTGCCACAACTTTGGAAGAATGCTTGGGGTCATTGTCCATTTGGAAGACCCATTTGCGACCAAGCTTTAACTTCCTGACTGATGTCTTGAGGAGTTGCTTCAATATATCCACATAATTTTCCTTTCTCAAGATGCCATCTATTTTGTGAAGTGCACCAGTCCCTCCTGCAGCAAAGCACCCCCACAGCATGATGCTGCCACCCCCGTGCTTCACGGTTGGGATGGTGTTCATCGGCTTGCAAGATGCCCCCTTTTTCCTCCAAACATAACGATGGTCATTATGGCCAAACAGTTCTATTTTTGTTTCATCAGACCAGAGGACATTTCTCCAAAAAGTACAATCTTTGTCCCCATGTTCAATTGCAAACCGTAGTCTGGCTTTTTTATGGCGGTTTTGGAGCAGTGGCTTCTTCCTTGTTGAGCGGCCTTTCAGGTTATGTCAATTTAGGACTCGTTTTACTGTGGATATAGATACTTTTGTACCTGTTTCCTCCAGCATCTTCACATGGTCCTTTGCTGTTGTTCTGGGATTGATTTGCACTTTTCGCACCAAAGTACGTTCATCTCTAGGAGACAGAACGCGTCTCCTTCCTGAGCGGTATGACGGCTGCGTGGTCCCATGGTGTTCATACTTGGGTACTATTGTTTGTACAGATGAACGTGGTCCCTTCAGTCGTTTGGGAATTGCTCCCAAGGATGAACCTGACTTGTGGAGGTCTACAAATATTTTTCTGAGGTCTGGGCTGATTACTTCAGATTTTCCCATGATGTCAAGGAAAGAGGCACTGAGTTTGAAGGTAGGCCTTGAAATACATCCACAGGTACACCTCCAATTGACTCAAATGATGTCAATTAGCCTATCAGAAGCTTCTAAAGCCATAACATCATTTTCTGGAATTTTCCAAGCTGTTTAAAGGCACAGTCAACTTAGTGTATGTAAACTTCTGACCCACTGTAATTTTGATACAGTGAATTATAAGTGAAATAATCTGTATGTAAACAATTGCTGGAAAAATTACTTGTGTCATGCACCAAGTAGATGTCCTAACCGACTTGCCAAAACTATAGTTTGTTAGCAATACATTTGCGGAGTGGTTGAAAAACGAGGTTTAATGACTCCAACCTAAGTGCATGTAAACTTCCGACTTCAACTGTCCTTCTAACTGTTTGCCTTTGAGGAAAAAATAGCTAGCTGAATGAGTCGAATCATTCGCAATTGCGAGACAGTTCTTTGTACAGTAAGAAAACTAAATAGATTTTCATGAATTTCTCTATATTCAATATTTGAATTATCTTAATGTCTGTCCTCCAGCTCTTTGCAGGTCACTTATATTAATAATATCTCAAAGAAAGAAAAATAATATATATATATATATTTGACACATAAACAGAACATGTCCTTGATAAGATATGACAAGTTCATACATTAAATCAGTAATTTTGGAATGAGTTCAGGTTGTATAAAAAAATAAAAGACAAAGCCACAGAAAGGAGTGTGTACAGTTGAGCACCTTGTTTCTTGGTGTACTAGCAGCGTCACTGACTACGTCATACTGTACATGCATCGGTAAGGTGTGCCAAACAATAAAATACTCATCAGTAGTGATTGCACTGAGGGCAGGTGGTTGGTCAGAGAGGTGTAAAAGTATGCGGATGCAGGACATGGTTTCAGAGCTGCCAGTGATAAAATGTTTTTTAAAATTCCAAATTGAGAAAAAAAACATGGAAACATGAATAAATAAATACATATGTACATTAAACAACTCGCTCTCTCTCTCTCACACACACACACGTTTGGTTAAGACTAAGTCTGTCCTGACATTTGATCCAGTCAAAGCATATTCCACAGTAAGCCCCCCCCGGAACCCCCCCCCCCCGGAACCAAGGGCTAGTGGAAACGAGCGAGGAGGAGTGATGTGCACATAGCTCATCTGAAAGTAAAGGTCTTGGTACAACGTCTCTCACTCTGCCCTATTATGAGATATAGTCATCTGTAAATAAAATTAAATCATAAATACTTTGGTAAAGAGAAACAATAGTTAGAGATTCAAGTAAGACACTGTTCCTGGCTGCAAGTTACAATGGCTAAGTTTGGCTCCGGAGTCGGTTACACCAAACATGCATCGCAAAGCACTTCTACACCGTACTTCATAGCAATACCATTACTGAGTAGAGTAGGATGATGTTGCCCCTTGACACTGATCTAAGGTCAGATATACGTTTCACCCCCAATGGGTAAGGATAGGATTTGTGGAGGGTAAGCTGGTCCTAGATCTGTACCTAAGGGCAACTTCTACCGGAAACTCACTGCGTGTTTTATGACCTCATTTTCAAAACCAGGCTTTAGAAATCACCATGAGTTTGTTTGTTTGTGTTGATTCTTGTTGTTGCTGTTTTTCTTCAACCCCCCATCTCCCCTCCGAAAGTTTCAAATACCTCGGTTCGGGATGAGTTTCCCAAAAGCTTCGTAAGCTACAGTTAGGTTGGTCTTTCCAAATCACACCGTTTCTCCCAAACACACCTAGTCTGAGAGATGACATGACATAGGTATGACATAAAGCAGCTATAAGCATACATAAGCAGTCCTCAGTCTACTAATCCTTCAGAAATAAAATGCCACAATAAATTAAGAAACAGACACAACATTATTTAAGACAAAACAGAGGTAAGAAATAATCATTTAAAAAAAGAAACGTTTTCTGTGTTTTCTTTCCTTCTTCGCCATGATGCAGTGAGTTTCCTGGTAAAATAAGGCAGGCGTGTGAAAGTTAAAACCTTGTGTTAGATGAATCAAGTGGTTCTGTGATGTCAAGGCGAGCTCAGAGAGAGGAGCAGTGCACATTTTGGTTCTGGGTGTGGAAGACTGCCAGTCCAATCTGGTCCGATCCGGTCTAGTCCACTCTGGTCCAGTTCAGTCTTGTATCTGGTCGTAGATGCTATGGTCGACGACTCGGTCCATAGAGGGAAGTCTCCTGTGTCTGGAGTACTTGACCTGCAGCAGGTCTCCTACCTCACTGATCACACTCAGGGCCTAACCATTGAGACACACACACCATAGATGTTACATTATCACACAGATCTGAAGACACGTCAATGATCACTCAAACCCGAACACACACACACTCACTGATGATCACACACACGTCCTGCCTGCAGACACACATACACACACACACATTACACTCAGAGGCTGACAGAACACACACACACCCTCTTGCTTTACATGTATACCGATGGAAGACACCAAAACTCACGTCTATGTCTAACACAGGTTGACTATAGCTGTTTGAAGCTACCATTGGATGTTAGTCAGTTGAGAGTGATGCAAGCCCTCCCAGATCACTAACACATGGTACAGCAGGATATATGATGGGGGAAGACTGGGACTTGAGAGAGCAGAGCTAGCATGGGGATCTCTCGCACAACTCACTCATCTACAACATGACTATCACATCAAGACCCATAATGGCAGAATCTCACTATTGGCCAGGCACTAAAGAGGCACAGTGGGGGAAGAGAGGTGATACACAAATTAATGTGACACCAAAGGATGGATAGCAGACAGCAGTTAGATATATGAAAGAGAGAGAAAGGGCCACTGCGAGAGGGGAAGAAGGGGAAGAGAGAGGAGAGAGAGTGGGAGATAGTGAGAAAGAAAGACAGGAAAGAGCACTGCTTTATGAGAAAAAAGGGGCTGATGGAAAATGTATAGGAGAGAAGGAATGCGTGAGAGAGAAGAAAGTAGAGAGAAAGACGGATCCATTGGAGCTGCTGTGGATGGCATGACAAGAAGAGCGTATCAGACAGCATTATGGGCAAGTGGAAGCCCTCACTCCATCACTCCCTCCACCAGGGTTTCTGTGAATTCTCAATGAACCGAAAAGTAGAAGCATTTATTTTATTTTATATATATACATTTTTGTATTTTAAATTCAAATCACTTCCTGAGGCAAATCCCACTCTGGTCGACTTTTGATCTCTCCCAAGACCACCGACTGAGCTTTCCATAAGCACGAGTCTAGTTACAACTATGATGAAATACATGACGTGAACAAGAACTTGTGAAAAATGTGTGACTCAATGTGAAAAATGATAACGTCACATCAAAGGGCGGTTTGGGTTCTAGGGGGAGGAGAGAGGGGGTACAGGCCTTTGTGAAAGAGAGAAGAAGTTAAAGGAGATAGAGGCAGAGTGAGTGTGCTTTTCAGCAGAGTTAAATGGGGGGTCCTAGGGGAGAGAGAGAGATTAAGAGAGGCTGTTTGATCTAATGCCAGCAATGAGGGGAGGGGAGGTCACACTTACATACACCCACCACTAAGGGGGATGGGGGGTAACATACCAAGGCAAGTTTTATTTTCTCTATCCACCCCATTTTTCAATCTGGTGACCCCACATGGGGTCCTGTACCCAAGTTTGGGAAACGCTGCACTAGGAAGTGGAAGCTATAGAATGGAAGAAAGAATGGAATGACATAGGACCATGAGTGTGCACTCTTTATGTCTTTAGTGTGAAAAAGGTCCCCATTTTGTGCCAAGCATGGGGGGATAGTTACCGTGTCGAGCATGTCTTTGGTGTGAGCGGCAGAGATACAGAATCGTGCTCTGGACTCAATGATGGGTGTGGCTGGAAAGCCCACCACCACCACCCCGATGTTCCTCTTCAGCATCTCTCTACCAAATGCCCTGAGAGAGAGAGAGAGAGAGAGAGACACAGAGAGAGAGAGAGAGAGAGAGAGAGAGAGAGAGAGAGAGAGAGAGAGAGAGAGAGAGAGAGAGAGAGAGAGAGAGGGAGTGAGAGAGAGCGGGCATCGAACATCAACTTTGCGAGTAGGTGCACAACCAAATATGTATTTAAAGTTTTGAGCCTAATTTGAAAAACATAACTGCATTCAAGCCACTTTGTTTGCTATAAAGCTGAGGGATGGGGCTGGGGAAAGGTAACCACTCATATTCATAGATGAAACTATGGATGCCAGGGCTGACTCACCCTATCTTGGCCGGCATGTAGAGCATCATGGGAACTACGGGCGAATCGTTGTTGCCGTAGATGATAAAGCCCATCTCTGTCATTCTCCGACGGAAATACAAAGTGTTCTCTGCCAACTGCTGCACGCGATCAAGACCTGGACAGAGACAGAGACAGAGACAGAGACAGAGACAGAGACACACAGGTTGGGGTGAATTTTGAAGAATTGAAAAATGAGTAGCTAAAGCCTGAACCTACTCAACGTTGGTTGAAGCTCTTTCTAAGTTTACACAGTAACATCCTCCAGTGGTTTGTCCTCTGTCCAGACAGACAGACAGACAGCTGATGTTTACCCTGTCTGTCGCTCAGTTACCATCTAGCTGTAGTCTTTATCAGACTGGTAGAGCTCAAGACCCTCATGCCCCAGGCACATACTACAGATCTCCATCTACTCTTACACAGCATTGGGGATGCAGGTTGTCTGTCTCTCTGTCGGTGTACGCAAGCGTATGTGTGTGTATGTGAAAGGGTCTGTGTGTGCTTTAAGGGCTGAAAGCATTACGAGCCAATTGAGACATTACAACTTGTACATACACATTGGTACACATGTCTACATCAGCCTTTGAAGGGAGGTCAATACACTTTCTAACTAAGCTCCTCGCAGTAATATTGAGGGAGAGCAGAATTCCGCCTGTTCCTTTATTGGTTATGAGGCGGACAGAACAGTTCCGGAGGGTCAGCTTGCATTTCTGCACGCCGCGGTTCTCACTTGTCAAATATTCCGCGCATGCTAAGGACTCGGGCCCAGGAATTTCCTCTTCCCTGACAATTCCCCCCTGCCAGTCGCCCCTCCGCCCCCCCATCGGCCAGATGCGCTAAGTGACGACCTTCAAGTCACTTTTACGGTGGCACATTCCTGCCTGGGGTGCCAGGCTGAACAAAACACTAGAGCACATCATCCCAAATAAGAGCTATACATTAGAGTGACACACACACGTCAGGATTGGTTTACAGAATGCTGGCTTTTTTGCTGAAACAGGAGAAGAAGAAAAACAGCGAGAGGAGAACAAATAGGAAAAAAGAGAAGTGTGGGAACGTGACAGGGGATCATTGGACTGTGTTTGTGTTTTTGTCTGCACGTGTGTATAACCTATGTGAAAGTTGACTTGACTGGCTGTGTAAGGGGAGTAGCTTGGTCCCCTCTCCTCCGTGTCTGAGGAAATCAGCCAGTGACAGATAGAGCAGACAGCACAAGTCATGACCCGGTCACTACTCTGAGGCACACATCAGCCTTGGCGTGCGCTGTCTCTGTCTCTCTCCCTGTCTCTCTCCCTGTCTCTCTCTCTGTCTCTCTCTCTGTCTCTCTCTCTGTCTGTCTCTCTCCCTGTCTCTCTCCCGGTCTCTCTCCCGGTCTCTCTCCCTGTCTCTCTCCCGGTCTCTCTCCCGGTCTCTCTCCCTGTCTCTCTCCCGGTCTCTCTCCCGGTCTCTCTCTCTGTCTCTCTCTCTGTCTCTCTCCCTGTCTCTCTCCCTGTCTCTCTCCCTGTCTCTCTCCCTGTTCTCTCTCCCGGTCTCTTCTACCGGTCTCTCTCTCGTCTCTCTCTCGTCTACTCTCCTGTCTCTTCCTGTCTCTATCGTCTCTCCCTGTCTATCCGGTTCTTCCCGGTCTCTCTCCCGGTCTCTCTCCCGGTCTCTCTCCCTTGGTTCTCTCCCTGTATCTCTCCCTGTCTCTCCCGTTTCTCCTGTCTCTCTCCCGTCTCTCCCTGTTCTCTCCCGTTCTCTCTCCCTCTATCCCCCGTCTCTCTCCCGTCTCTCTCCCGGTCTCTCTCCCTGTCTCTCTCCCTGTCTCTCTCCCTGTCTCTCTCCCGGTTCTCTCCGGTCTCTCTCTCGTCTCTCTCTCTCTCGTCTCTCTCTCTGTCTCTCTCTCTGTCTCTCTCTCTGTCTCTCTCTCTGTCTCTCTCCTGTCTCTCTCCCTGTCTCTCTCCCGGTCTCTCTCCGTCTCTTCCGTCTCTCTCCCTGTCTCTCTCCCTGTCTCTCTCCCGGTCTCTCTCCCTGTCTCTCTCTCTGTCTCTCTCCCTGTCTCTCTCCCTGTTTCTCTCCCTGTCTCTCTCCCTGTTTCTCTCCCTGTCTCTCTCCCTGTCTCTCTCCCTGTCTCTCTCCCTGTCTCATATACAAGACACACACACTTAGGCTACACACACCAGACACGCATACACACAACCCCCTTGAAAACATATTCCCACCCTTTCGACTCCTTCCCCCTCTCTCTCCCTCTCCTCCGGCTGCTCACACACATTGTGGGAAAGTATATATCCGACAGCGCAGGACTGACAGCAAAGTATTATCACTGTGTATATTCATCCTGCATGGTCAGTCAGCGCACACATGCCAGAGACGACTTGCACACTGGGCAGAGAGAATCACTTAGGGCTGTCCCGAATCGATAATGAGTTTGATGAAAACAAATGGCAGCAGGCTGCTTGCTCTGGTTCTGAGTCGCTAGCCTCGCATCTTCCTAATAGAGCTGTGTTGTGTTTCAACTGATACTGGACACTTGGCACCACCATTACACAAGACTACTGCCACTCCTGAGAGTGTAGAGGGGGGAGAGGGGAGAGGGGAGCGAGGGAGGAAGGAGAGAGAGCGAGAGGGAGGAGGTGGGGCGAGAGAGAGAGAGAGGGGGGGGGGGGGAGAGAGAGGAGAGAGCGGGAAAAGAGAGCAAGAGGGAGGGAGGAGAGGGGTGAGAGAAAGGGAGAGAAATAACAACATTTCTCTCTTACTCATGTTCACCCTCACACAAGCACACACTCATTGCCATGTTCTCCAGCCATTTCCCTAATGAACCCAACCTTTTCCCTCCAGAGTTGTGATCAGCTACATAAACTGTGAGGAGAACAAATGTATTAAGACCCAGAGCAGGGCTTGCCATCTGAAAGCAATAAGGCCTTACAGGGGGAGCAGTGTGTGTGCGTGTGTGTGTGTGTGTATGTGTGTGTGGAGTGGCTGCTGACTTCAAGCTCTTCAGTCAGAGTGTTCTCTCTCCAGGGGATGGGGTGCAGGGCTCTCCAAAGTAAATCTTTCTGGGGTACCCTTTCAACAGCTAGTTTCACAATACACACACACTGACACAAAACACACACACACACACACACACACAGACAGACTCTCGCACAAACACATGTACGCAGTGGCACAGGCACACACACATACACATACACACTTAACTCCTTCCAGACACGGGGCAAGAGGACCTGGAGTGAGCGATGGGGGGTGGAGAGATGAAGGAAGGTGGAGAAGGGGGGAGGGGTGGAGGGGGAAAAGGAGAGAGATTGAGGGGGGTGGAGGGGCGAAAGAGCTTCCAGATGTGGGGGCTGTTTCCCTTGCAGATGAAAGTTTCTCCTCACTTCCTTCTCATCTGTGAATGGGGGGGGGGGGGGGGGGGAGAAGGAGAGAAGAGGGGGAGGAGAAGGAGGGATAAGTAGAAACACCCACAGCGCTTTGGAGGTTTCCACACCGGCTTCAGTTCAAGGGCTTCTGACAAGCAGAGATGGTCAGAACACACCCACGTAAGCATTTCGTTGGACGATGTATACCATGTGTATCCTGTACATACGACTAATAAAACTTGAAACACACGTCTCTGAGTAGTAGTAGAATAGGAAGCTGGGCGCGAACTTCAAGGAAGAGTGTAATTGTCCGATTCCTTCTTCATCCAGTGATTCATGGGCCATGTTGGGGCCACATGTTCAAACGGAGTGAAACGGACCCAGAGATAGAGATAGACCACTCACTACGTGTCTCATATCCTCTACAGGCCAATGACCAGAACCAGGACTACTTCAGTGGAAACCATAGAGATAGATAGAGATCTGATCTTTGTATCTGTGCCACACTGGTGTCTGTGATAGCACGGGCTATCTCCATCTTAAAATGGTGGAAGCTCTTTATAGCAATGTCCATGGAAAAACGGGTTATATCCATTTAGAGATCTCTATAAATCTCTACGGTGGAAACTTACACACAGCCATGGAAAGATCAACAGCTTTATACCACTCTGGGTTCTGTATCTAAGCCATGCAATGTAGAGACAAATGCAAGGTAGCGACAGAATGAGGCAAGGAGAGTTTGAGTTAATCACATCAGAGACCAACCTTCTCCAATCGAATGTACGGTTCAATGTCCTAAAGAGATGATGGGACGTCTAACATCACTCCAACTCTGGACCCCACCTTTCCTCAGGAGTCAGAAGTCAGGGGAAGTCAACTCCTTTTAACACCTTAAACAAGTCAACACCCCCACTCTGAGATGGATGGGCTGGAGTTGGTATGGCCCGTCTCAATACGTCAACCAGATATCATCGAGCTCAACCCAAAACCTGTTTCTAGCCTGGATCCATCCAGTCTTAATCCACTCAATCATCAAACTGGATTCAAACCCAGTGAAGACAGATTTTGAATCAAAACAAATGAGTTGAACAAAAAGCTGCTGTAAGTAGGACACAAGCTTGTTGGCCATGTTCAGTCCTTGGTAGAGCAGTGGCACAATGTTCATCAGGGCATGAAATTGCTGGCCATGTTCAGGGCACGACATTGTTGGCCATGTTCAGAAATACATGTTGTAGAGCAAACATGCCTCCCTGACATGTACTCCACTGAAGATGGGGGGAGAAAGAGAGAGACTATAGTACCATTTCCCTTCCATGGGAGTTTTCCCTGTGGGAAACAGGGATTGTTCCCAATACCTCCTCCTGGGCTCCGGAGATAATATTTATCCCTTCAACATGTTTTTAGGATTACAGTATATTAATCATCCTGTGACAACGGCTTTGTAAACCACTCAGAAGAATAATAACACATCTAACTCAACGCCATCTCGCCTTTTCACTTGAAATCTCATTCACCTGTGAAACTAACTTGGATCCATCACAGCAGCTTTGTACAGGTGATATACAATACATCTTTATAGTATTGCCTGTAGAAGTTGAATACATTATTATAATTAGTTTATCTGGGTGTGAGGCTTGCTGGCTGGTGCTTTGCAGTGATGGCTCCACCTCTGCTTTTTGTACTGATGAGGGTCTGGTAACACTAACCCAGACGCATGTCTCTCTTTCAGTAACATCTTATCCACTTGTTTTGTAGGCCGCAGTAGCATCACATG